AAAACATACTGTACATGAGACTCATGTTAAAATGTGACAATTTTTAAAGGAACAAAAAATGTAAAAAATAAATCCATACGTGTTAAGGTTCTTTGAAGAAATACAAATTTTAAATGTTTAAAATCATATCCTGAAATTACAAGGGAGCACAACATCTCTCCTCATTACCCTTTAGACTAAATGGACTTGGCATCAGCCTTCTTTTTAATGACAGAAAAACATATTGAGTTAAAGAAGGAAAAGTTATACAGAGAGACAGAATTAACAGCCCACACGACAAACGGGAAAAAAAGACGACAGGTATTTATTTTTCTACTCAAAGAGTTCTTTACAGAATCAAAACATGGGTCAATACAACCACAAAACTCAACAATTTTACAGAATTTAGTTAAAAGTTCATTTTTTTAATAAATCACTACCAGCCTTACTCTACTAACAATTTAAACAAATATTTGTTAACTCTCAAGGTTCGTGTTGGGGATGAGACTCAGCTACTATCACACCACATCTGAGCTCAGTTTCTGTGAAAATGACTGACTAATTTTGGGGTTAGTTGAGATTGATTAGCTGCAGTGGAAGCTGACTGCAAAAGTTAATCACATCTAAATGTAGATTGTATGATTGTCTGAAACAGCTTTTTTTCTTGCAAATTTCTGCCGCTTATTAGTAGACGGAGGCAACATGYCCAGGAGAGAAACCCAGACGTCCCTCTCCACAGCGACATTCTCCAGCTCGTCCTGAGGGACCCGAGGTGTTCCCAGACCAGAGAGGGTACATAATCCCTCCAGCGAGTCCTGGGTCTTACTAGGCCTCCTACCAGTGGGACGTGCCTGGAACACYTCTAAAAAGGAAGCATCTGGATCAGATGAACAACCTCAAYTGACTACTTTTTATGTGGAGGAGCAGCAGCTCTACTCTGAGCTCCTCACTCTATCTCTAAATCCGGCCACCCTACGAAGGAAGCTTATTTTGGTCGCTTGTATCCAGGATCTCATTCTTTCAGTCATGATCCACGCCTCATGACCATAGGTGAGGGTTGGAACGTAGACAGACCAGTAAATCCAGAGCTTTGCCTTTCACTCAGCTCTTTCCTCACCATGAYYGACCGAAGYAACRCCCTCATTACTGAGGATGAGGCTCCACTCTGTCAATCCATCTCCCACTCCATCCTATCATCACTTGTGAACAAAACACCCAGATATTTAAACTCCTCCACTGGAGGCAGAGACACAAGAAAGTGGATGAGACTGAGAATAAACTCATGCTCATGTTAGCCAAAGTGCTGTGCTGAGCTAGTTGAGCAAAAGTACACATCACATCTATGTTAGAAGTGGTTTGGATTCTGTAACACAATAGAGAACTAATGTTTTTCTACAATGGTAAAACTTGGGTGGGCTTCCCACATGTTTGGGGAAATATTCACATATTTGTCATGTTTTAGACTTTAGCTTAAACTGAATTAAACTAAAATTTCACTTTCCAGAAAAATGTATTCAAAATAGTACAATAGTACTTACTAGTAAATAGTACTTGTCTTTCCTGATAAGATTTATTTATTTTTATTTTACCTTCATTTAACCAGAAGGCAATGAAGGCAACTTAAACATGCACGTTTATTTTATTTTATTTTATTTTATTTCTTTTGGACTGTGGGAAGAAACCAGAGTATCCAGAGAAAACCCAATCACTCCCCGCAGAAAGACCCCAGGCCCAACCTGGGGCTTGAACCCAGAACCTTGTTGCTGTGAGGCAGTAATGCTAACCACTGATCCACCGTGCTGACTCTGCAGACAGTCAAAGTGTTCCTGTTAATAAAATATTTTAGAACTAAATGTACAGTATGTTGTGAACATTTATAAATGTTCTTGTAAATACATGTGGATTTTGCTGAGAATTACATTCAAATATTAACCAGCACCAAAAATTATACTATTTTTGAAAAGAAAGCAAAAAATATTTTTCAGTCAATTCTAACTCTTTGTTTAATCATATCAACACTTGAGTGAAGAAGTAGTTTGTGTCGTCTAGACTGTGAAGAGGTAAAGTTACTAACTTTGACTTGACTTTTACRTGCTTCATGGGCATTGTTTGCATTTATATAGAACCTTAACAGTAGCAAAAGCTCATTCAGAGTAAAGAAACATAATAAAAGACTTTCCAGTAAAAAAAATCTTGACTTGCTGCCACAAAAAAAAAATAAAAAAATAAATAAAAAACACTGCAGGTATGAGTGCAGAGAGCTCACACATCAGTATCACTGACAACAGTCTGCTTTTTCCTGGCAGAACTCCAAAGACTAACTGTGTGTGAGAGTATGAGATCTAAATTTTAAAGTAGAAAGTATTGATGTATGAGGGTTACTGTGAACATACATGTATCTCAGCATGTGTCACCTAATGTCCCAGTGCCCTGGCAGCGCAGTCTCAAACAACCCTGTGTTGATTCTGCAACAAATTCTTCCATCAGGCTTATTTTTAATGGACAGAGAACAAAACAGCAGCCTTTGCCCATAATTCTGTGATTTTTGGGCCTGTTCCCTCTCAATACATAAGCGGAAAAAGAGGATGTGAGGCCAAACAGGCTGTTACATTTGTGCTTGTTTAGGCTACCGAGACTAGAAAAAAAAAGACAGGATTTGTAGTTATGACTGTGAGAGAAGAGGCTACACGATACGGTGCTAACTCACTGACCACATGCTGTGTGAGAGAAGAGGCTACACGATACGGTGCTAACTCACTGACCACATGCTGACCTGAATGTAAGAGCGACTATAAACACCATAAAACAATATGGAACAACAAACTCAAGATAAAAACATACTGAAGCCAAACTGCTATCAATCCATCCAGTGCTTACCAAGATACTTTTATCAGAAATAGTGTGGAAAAAAGAAGAAAATTATGATATTGCTGACTCCAGAGCCACTAAGGTAATGTGTTTCAAAACAAAACAATTCTTATCAATGTAATAAAGCAAATAAATAAACAAAATTAACTAAGGCTGAAAAAAGAGACATGGTACAAATGGTGTGCCAGTGTTGATTTACAATCTAAACCTGCATGTTTTATTTTTTTCTCTGCTCCAACACCTGATTCATTGATTGAATCCCCTCTTGAAGTTCTGCAGAAGCCTGTTAATAATCGATATATTCAAATCAGGTGTGTTAGAGCAGAGAACCTCTTCAAGTGCCTGTGACATGCATTTTCCTTTAATTCCAAAAAGTCAAAGAAAACATCTTTATATTTAAGAAACTTGGGAAAAAACCCATGATTTTACTAATTTTGTCACATAACTGGCAGATTTTCTTTTAAACTTGTCTCAGCCAAAATGAAACAGGAAGTGACATCAAACGGGGAAGTCCTGCAGTAAATGAACYCCCTGGTCTTTGTTTATTAAAGCTAAATTATTTGAACTCTGACTCTTCATCTCTGATAGAGACTCAAAATAASAGAAAAACCCCATCAGGTTATTGTCTACAGTCTGTGTTGTCAACCATTTTAGCAATGCTCTGTTTACATGCAGACATTCCTCTTTGACATCACTTCCTGTAACTCACATGTGAAGATCTCAACAACTATTTATCTCAGCGGGGTAAAAATGTTTTTCTAATACGTTATCAATGTTATCTTTCCAAAAATGTCTTCATTTTTATTAGAAAAACCTGATTWTACAGGTACTTCAAACCTGCAGGATAGTGACCATCCAGGACTAGGATAGGAGACCCTAACCTGTAAGTACAGTGAAGTGTGGGCTGACCTGCTAGCCATGTTCCATTCTAGAGCTGGATTTTGGGAGCTCCTCTCACTTTCTGCTGACATGCCTCCTTTGACTCCCTCCTTCTCTGGCTTGAGTTGCTCCCATTGAGCAGTCCCAATGTTGATAGACTGAAGGTCGATCTGATACTGACGATCCTCCACCTCGGAGCCWGGGTCACGCAGAACCCCCAGATTCAGTGCCCGTCTACAGAGAGAAGAGAGACTTGGTGACTTGATTTAYAGATTAACATGATTTTAAGTTGTAGCAATGCAGTAAGTTTAGATGCAAAAATAAATAAATAAAAAGGAGATGACTGTACATGTTAGACAAAATTCACCTTCAAAAAGCAGCTCAATGTAAACTAAACTTCTGAATAGGAGGAGGTTTTATGGCAGRCTGGATTTTCTATTGTGATCTTTGAGTACTCCAGGTATTCTGTTGCAGAACAACTGTAAATATTTCCTGACACTACTTACCCTTCTTCAAACCTTTCAGAGTTTTAGTAGCTCATGTTTCTTATAGTGTGATTTACAACTATATCAAAGCTTGTGGTGAGTATACAACAAAACCTCAGATAAATGACCCCCACATGCCACAGGTGAAATCATTTGTTGTTTTTATAGAATTTTGGAATTTGCCATCTTATTATTGGCAGTAAACATTGCTTAAAGCTTGGCTTAACAGCACGGGAGTCTGGAGACTGTTTCTCTTTTTGCCTTTTGCTTTCTATTTCTGTCTAGAAAAACACGGAGCTTTTACAGTATACACAAATTGGAATGGGCCAGGGGAGATGTAGCGATATGTCAGGACTGGGCAGCRCTCCGTCTATAGTTGGATGACTGCAGTCAAAGGAGAAAACAGCGTTCCTCCAGTGCCAAGAAAAAATGATGTCATCTATTTTGCCTTTGAGAGACAAGATTCTGACGAATTCACAAGGCAAAAGGAATAATCAAAATTCAACATCTGCATATGACATCAGGGCTTTTGGTTCATTATGAAATGTTTATTTGTGCTGGTGAATTCAAATGAGAGCTTAAATGGYATAAATAAAGACTTAAAATGGCTGCAGATGTAGCGGCAGCATGAGTAGTCCTATTTGTTTCAGCGCTGTCAATGGCAATTTTCAGATAGCATTTCCCTTTTCTCGCCACACTGAAAAGGCCTCTACCAGAGCACGATGTTATGACAATAAGCACCAAGTACAAAAACAACGGCAACCGGAGATCAGAGGTGCATAACTGGATTTCGCTGGATTTGTTGACATACAAACAAGTGAAACAGATCCTTAATCAACATTTGGAACCACATTTATCAACAAARCATAATATAAATCAAACTAAGAGCTCAGGGAGATTTGGGTGGGATGTGTCAGTCTAAATTCATTAGGGTTTATGTAGCAGTACCTCTATCATCCTCAACCCTATGTAAAAAAAAAAAAAGAAACCACAGTTACCTCATATGCTTTTCCAAATTATCTCTTAGCTTCAGCTTATTTAGGAGACTCTCTCTCTTATAATCAACATAACATGGGAATCTGCAGCCAAGGCTCTGCATTGCTGAACAGCAGGGTCATCTCCAATGACATAAATAAATATGATAAACATTTGTCTTGGTCATGCAGCCAGTGGAAAATGGTGTGATTTAATATCAAAAGACATATTTCAGCAAATCGCAGGAAACTAGAGAGCTTCATTTCTGACAAATGAGGAGGGAAGGAATTTTGGAAGTCCCCCTTGGGGTGCGATAATAATTGAAGCCAGATTTTCTTGTTGTACATGTGCAGAGAAAACACTGGTGGTTTGACATATTTGATTGGTCATGTGAAGACCACACTGCCTRGCCAAGGCAAATCAGAAAACACATTCGAGAGGCACAAAACTCAATATATACACGGACAAATTAAAACACGGTAAGGCAGGTGGGACACGCTACTATTGAGAAAGGCATACGAGCATCAAGCATCTTCCTGTCAAGATGAAATTAAAATGTCAACGGCTTTGCAAATAAAGATACCAGGGGACAGAGAGATGAGGAGGGAAAAAAATTTAAATATTGTCCATAAGCTAATCTAATTTTAATTACAAAAAAGAGCTGAAAAAAAATTTTTTACGACAAAATTTTGCTATTTATAAAAGGCGGATCAAAATTAAGCAGTAAGAACATTCTGTCTTGCTGAATCTCTTGGCTGTAATTTTAAAAAACATTCATCCATTTTCTGACTCAGACTAAACCAAGTTTGAGTCTGACAAGCCACTAGGTCAATTCTGCATCAGAGCTGAAATATGACGGCTGAAATCCAACTTGATAATGGCCAAAATTCAAACCCTCCACCCTTTTTAAGCACAAACAAGTGGAGACATGAAACGTTGTGCATGGTGTTGGAACAAAGATGGTGCTTCATCATTCTATATATA